CCCCAAAACCCCAAAACCCCAAAACCCCTATTTCTTACAGAAAAATTGAAAACGAAGGAATTTATCTTTTTATTAATTTAAGATCTATGGTAAACACTTCTTCTAGGTCATACCCATGTTGGGATACCATCGGGAATACTTTTCAGAGTTTATAGAACTTCTTGTGGCTGTATTTTTTGAAAAATCTCTTAATCTTTTTATAAGTTCTAATTTTATGAAAGAAGTCCTTAGCTTCTTGATCAGAATGTGAACTCCAACGAGGGTCAATCGCACTTATCTGAGTTAAATACATCGGGCATCTTTTTGAATTAGTTTCCCAATCTTCGTTATGCTTGTAGATGTTTCCTTTAGGATCTGATTTATCCAAGTCACTATCTTTCTTTCCTCAAAAGTAGCACCAGACAGTGTTGCAGTTATCTCAAGTCATATGAGTTCAGGCATCATCTTTGACTCCTCCAACTTTTCATTCAGGGCAGGATCTTTTAGTACCGTTCTCAAGAGCTTTATCCCATGCTTTCTTAGCCTTACGATGCTTAAATCATTTATGATGACTAAACATGCCGCTCTCTGATTTAAGTTCTTCAAATTCTTGTTTATAGACATAAGAGCTAGATGGGATCTAAACCTTCGTTATTTGTAAACTTACTTCGAATTCTTTAAATCACACTGAGCAGCTTCCTTTGTGGCAACCTGGCTTTTTACAGTAGAAGTAGTTTGAAGAGTTATCAATCGTCCAGATCTCGAAATACTTTCAGAAGGGACAGGACATCACCTTGTCAAGTTTCGGATCTACTTCCTTCATAGCTTTGTACATAAGGTAAATTTCTAGTTGTTCAGGAGTCATTTGCATTTCAAGCTGCACTGAGTTTAATTCCAAATTACAGAGAGAGCATTTTGCTGGGATTTTAGCCTCAGGGTCAGATAGTACATTACATACATAAAGTTTAGCACATTCTGTGCACATATCATGACCCTGACCTCACTTGATCCCGTTATGGGTTCTGGAGATTTCATCCCCACATGAAAGTCAGGTGACATTTTCGTCTTTTTTGTCTGTTGTTTCCATTCTTCACTAAAAATTCTTAAAATTACTGAAAGTGTCAATATTTTTCTGATTAAAAGGGGTTTTGGGGTTTTGGGGTTTTGGGG